AGCACTGGCATTGGGACAGAGCATTGCCAACCTCTGCCCAGCACCTTTAGCGGCTCCAGGGATCCAGGGAGAGGAGTTGGGGAACCTCTATCCCCTGCCACCAGCTCTAGAGACTGGGGATTTAGTAGACTATTCTGCAGAGGAGGAACAACACAGTGAGCCTCCAGCAGAAGAGTTGGCATCAAGGCAAAGTGCTGCTGACCTCTGCCTGCAACAATTGGTGGTCCTGGAGGATTTGTGCAAGGCCACCAAATTTTAATTTACTTCCCAGCGGTAGAGCTGGCATCAGGGTAGAGCACCACTGACCTCTGCCCTCTGCACCAACAGCACTTCTGGACCTCCAGGGAGCCAGGGCGGGCAGCCCTGGCTCCCTGCAGCAGGCTGATACAGTGGAACTCCTAACCCCAGCTGAAGTGCTGGAAGTGGGCCAGAGTACTGCCAGTCTCTGCCCATACACAGTCCCAGCAGAAGCACTAGCAGCAGGACAGAGGGTCTACTACCTCTGACCAACCCCTACAGTGACACAGGAACCTTAGGGAGAAGTAGTGAGCATTTCTTCTCCTCAGCGGCAGTGTAAGGACCAGGGAGGGTATGCGGCTGGCATTCCTCCCCTTTGGCTGGAGGGGGCTTTGGGAGATTGGGCAGTCGGTCCAAATCGCCAGTGGCAGTACGATGACCCAAGAGCGGAGTAAACTGTCTTCCTTACCCAGCAAGGATCCATGCACCTGGGAGACAGTACCAGAGAAATGTCATCCCAGCAGCCAGATGAGGGTACTGGAGATGGAGCAGCCGGCTCATTTCCCCAGCAGCGGCAGTTCAGGGAGAGAAGGAAGTCATCCTAACTCCAAAGTGGGAGTCTGGGAGTCCAGGAGTCCAGTAGAAGGAGCAACCAGCTCATCTTCCCAGTGGCAGATCCACAGTCTTGGAATGGAGGAAGCTGTCCTTCCTCCCCAACAGTCATCCAGAGTGGAGGAAACTGTCTTCCTGTCAGGGCTGGGCTCCTGCTACTTAATAAGCAGATCTTTTCTTTCAGTTCTCAGAAGCTGCTCAGCTGTTGGTTAATTACCAGCCACTCATTGTCTCCACAGTGATTCACCTGGATACCATTATCTGCCTCATTAGTCCAGCCTACAGCCAGCCCTCTTTGCTATTTTAGCAGATTAACTAATTTCCTCCTTGCCATTGCGTGGTCTATGATCTCCAGTGTGTTCCTTTCTGTGTTCCTGTGTGCAGCTTGGTCTGGCTGACATCTCGTCTGATTCCTGTGCCTGATTGTTGGCTCCTGACTACACTGACTTCTGGTTTTCTGATCCTGGCTCATCTGATTACCCGCTCTGGTATCCATACCCTGACTTCTGTTTTGACTATATTATTTTTGCTATTTCAATAAAGGTGTGATTTTAATTGCACTTTCTGTCTCTACCTGGTTAATGACACTTCCCTCCCCAGCAAGGATCCATGCATCTGGGAGACAGACAGAGAAAGTCATTCCAGCAGAAGAGAGTACAGGAGGTGGAGTAGCCAGCTCTTCTCCCCCAGCTGCTGATCCACAGTCTGGGAGAGAAGGTGGTTCCCCCCCTCCAACAGCAGATTAACAGTCCGGGAAAGGAGGTGGTCATCCTCCCTCCACAGCAGCAGTGTAGGGACTTGGGAGTGAAGAAAGTCATCCTTGCTCCTCAGCGGGAGTCCGGGAGTCCAGGAGATAAAGCAACTAGCTCATCTCCCCTGCAGCAGTTCCACAATCCTGGAGAGGAGGTGATCATCCTTCCTCCCAGGAAAGGATCCATGCACCTGGGAGACAGTACCAAAGAAATGTCATCTTGTCAGCCGGATGAGAGTATGGGAAATGGATCAGCCAGCTCATCTCCCCAGCAGCAGTTCAAGGACTCGAGAGAGGAAGAAGCAGTCCTCACTCCCCAGCAGCATATTCACAGTCTGGGAGAGGAGGAAGCTGTCCCCAACTGTTAGAGCTGAGGATGTGGGGTCCCCAGCTGAAGTACTGGCAAAAGAGCAGAGTGTCATTGGCCTCTGTCTAGCACCTATGGTGTCTTCACAGCTCCAGGGAGTTGGGGCAGTTGGCCCCTCTCCCCACCAGCACACCAAGCCCTGAAATGGCAAAGACCTCCCAGCTGAATCGCTGGCAACAGGGCAGAGTGCCACTGGCCTCTGCCTAGCACCTCAGATGGCCCCTCTCCCCAGTGACAAGCCAAATCAGAGAAGCGCAAACACTCAGGTGAAGTGCTGGCAGCTGGACAGAGGGTCCACGACCTCTGCTTCACAGAGGGGGCTCTATTCTTTGGAAGGTGTGAGCCTGGGGGGGACCTTTGGAGTAGTTTTACTTTGGGTTTAAGTCCATGTATCCTTGAAAGACACAGACTCTGAGAACTGGAGGACCCTGACACGAATTTGGGGTCTCTGTGCCCAAATCAACATGGACTGCTTCAACCCCCTCCTAGACTCAGAGCAGATTTCAATATAATCAGCTCAAAAACAACCTTATGCTGAGGTCTCCTGCTGTAATATGTTTATTAGGGTGTTATGTGTTTACTTTGTACCTTTTCCCCATTGTTAATTGAGTCACCTATTATTTCTGTCTGTTGGCTAAACCTTTAGGAGGTTCCTACATGATGGGATTAGTCTTGTGTCAACTTTTACCCCGTTACCTAATCATTGTGGGATGTTTATTCCCATGTGTAATATTTGTTTTTATTGTTCATGTAGGGACTGCCCTATTTGTGAAGTGTATAAAACCTCATATTTATGTTCAATAAAGGAGTTCATGTTTTGCACTAAGCTAGTGTCATCCAGCATGTGGGTGCAATACCCAGCTATAATACCTTGTTCCTGTGTTCCAGCAGTGAGGAAGCAGTTCTCTGAAAGAGGCACCCAGAGGGGGGTGCCAGGAGGTCTGTCACATGCCCTATCATTGGTGTCAGTGGGAGGAATAGTGCCTCATCTTTGTTATCTGTGGGAGGAATAGTGTCCCATCAGTGGTGTCAGTGGAAGGAATAATGTGCCATCATTGGTATCAGTGGGAGTAATAGTTCCCCAATCATTAATGTCAGTGGGAGGAACAGTGCCTCATTGTTGGTGCCAGTGAGAGTACTAGTGGTTCATCATAGGTATCATTGGGAGGAATTGTGTTCCATCGTTGGTGTCAGTGTAAGGAATAGTGCCCCATCATTGGTATCAGTGGCAGGAATTATGTTAATTGTTAATGTCCAAGGGCCAGGTAAAGGCAAGCAAAGGGCTGCATTTGGCCCTCGGACTGCAGTTTGAAGACCACTACTATGAAGCATTGTGAATGGATCTGTTATAATTTGAGGTTGCTTTGCTGCTTCAGAGCCTGGGAAACTTGCAGCCATTGAGCCAACTATGAATTCTACATCCTATCAAAGTGTACTTGATATGAATGTGAGACTATCTGTCAGAAAACTGAATGTGAGCCATAGATCTTTCCAAACAATAATGATCTAAAACACAGTAGCAAATCTACCAAGAAACCGCTCAAAATAAAGAGATAGAGGGTTATGGAATGGACTGGTCAGAGCCCTAATAAGAACCCCGTTAAAATGTTGTGGGAGGAATTTTGAACAGGCAGCTCATGCAAGGAAACCCACAAACATATTGCAACTGAAGCAGTTTTCATCATTTATGTTGGTGTAAGAGATTGGTGGGCAACATTACATCAAGTAATGTTTATTCTTGCTGAGTAAATTAATACAAATGCACTTATTTTCTTTGTGCTTTTATTCATCTATATCAACTTTATCTGTAGGCATTGTGTAAATGAACATCTAATGGCTGCCTTTTCAAATATCTTGAAAAGGTGAACAAATTCCATGGAGTGTACTTACTTTTTCACATACTGTAAGTGTACATGCATAGCACCAACTGATTTGCTCCCAAGCTCAATAATAAGAACTAGTGAGCTAGAGGACAATTTACTAAAAGAGTTGGGAATCTTCATACAATATATTGAAGTTGATTTAATAAAAGATTTGAAAAGCAACACACAATAAACTGTGTGAAGAGCCACTTCAGTGATCCAATCATGTGAAAAGAAAATCTCTGTTTACCTTTTTCATCTGCACATGATTGGATAATTGAAGTGAAAATTTACACAATTGATTATATGAAGATTCTCAATTCCTTTAGTAAATTAGTCCCTTTATTTTCTACATATACAGCATTCACCCTGGAACCTGTTATATACTAATGTGTTAACCAGGATAACTAATCTTACAACACATTTCAGCCAGTGATTTTTGGGGAGCCAGTTCTAGCTAACCTGATTGGCTGCTGTTCAAGCATGACTTATTTCAGCATGTCTAGCCAGCAATGGCCTTTTGACCTACCTTACAGTACCAGATCTGTGACCTCTAACTTCTGTTAACAGTCCAAATGCAAACTATCTTGTTTGACCTCTGACTTGGCTGGTCATGCTCACATTGCACTGTCTAACCTCTGACAACACTCACATATTAAACTTTGCTGCCTACTGTGACCTCTGACCCTTAAGTTTGCTGCCTATATGTTGTCAGATGTCTGAGTATTTATACATAAGCAAATATTTGCTATTGTATAGCCATGTATGATGGTGAGCCTGCTTTTCCACATACTGTAAGCTCCAATTTCAAACTGTAGTAGTAACAATAACTATAATCATGTAGTTGATTATAGCAATAGGATAAGCAATAGGAATCCCCTACACCGCCTTTCCTTATATACATTAATACACATTACTAGCTGCATATCCCTCAGCTATTAATAATAAACACAGCATACACATTACAGTAATTCTGGGGATACTGAAGGGTGGTTTTTATTAGTTTTCTATTGTACATGGGATAGCGCAAAGGAGTTTTATATACAATAATAAAGACACCATACAAAAATATTCCAATACAATGTTCTTTATTGGAAAATATTTGTGCTATTTAACCGCCTCCCACCCACCATATAAGGAAATGATGGGCGCAAGGCGGTTCTCTGGGACACAGCGGATCACCGATCAATGGAAAAGAGACAAAGGCGTCCGCTCGGTTATGTGATCAGCTGTGTCCAATCACAGCTGATCACATGTAAATAAGGAAATGCCAGTTATCAGCATTTCTTTCCTCACGAGCTGTCACGCTGCCAGCTCGTGAGGAGAGGAAAGTCAGTAATCGGCATTCCACAGAGAGGACATGTACACAGATCATCAGGGCACTGATAATCAGTGTGCCCCTATGATCAGTGTAGCCCCAGTAGTGCCACCTGTCAGTGCCCATCAATGCCACCTGCCAGTGCCCATCAATGCCACACCAATGCCACATATCAGTGCCTACCAGTGCACATCAATGCCACATCAGTGCCCATCTGAGCTGCCTTTCAGTGCCAACTATCAGTGCCAGTCAGCTCCACCTATCAATGCCAGTCAGTGCCACCTATCAGTGCTGCCAATCAGTACCAGCTATCAGTGCAAATCAGTGCCGCCTATCAGTGCCAGTCAGTGCCGCCTATCGCCCATCAATGCTGCCTATCAGTGGCACCTACCAGTGCCAGTCAGTGCCACCTACCAGTGCCAGTCAGTGCCGCCTATCAGTGCCAGTCAGTGCCGCCTCTCAGTGCCCATCAATGCCACCTATCAGTGCCACCTACCAGTGCCAGTCAGTGCCACCTACCAGTGCCAGTCAGTGCCGCCTATCAGTGCCAGTCAGTGCTGCCTATCAGTGCCATATATGAGTGCTGCCTTTCAGTACCTATCAGTGATGCCTGTCAATGCCCATCAATGCCACCTACCAGTGCCTCCTCATCAGTGCCCATTAGTGCTGCCTATCATTGCTAATCAATGCAGCCTATCAGTGCCCATCAGTACAGCCTCATTAGCGTACATCAGTGAAGGAAAAAAATCACTTATTTACAAAATTTTATAACAGAAACTAAGAAAAGGTTTTTTTCAAAATGTTCAGTTGTTTTTGGTTTATTTAGCAAAGAATTAAAAAAACCAGAGGTGATTAAATACCACCAAAAGAAAGCTCTATCTGTCTCAAAAAATCATAAAAATGTCATATGAGTACAGTGTTGCATGACCGCGCAATTGTCATTCAAAGTGTGACAGTACTGAAAGCTGAAAATTGGCCTGGGAAGGAAGGGGGTATAAGTGGCCTGTAGGCAAGTGGTTAAAGGGTAACCTCAATTAAACAAATTACTTAACATATATATTTTTTTTAATATATTTTTTTATTTTTGTTATATATTTTATTAATTTTAATTAACATACATTATTTAACATTATACAACAATATTTTTTCCATATAAAATTTTTTACACTAAACAAACAAATAAAAAACCCTACACACACCCCTCCCCACCCCAGGCACCTTAACCCTCAATAAACCTCATTCCTTCCTTTACCGCAAACTTCCCCTTCTCTTTCATCTTCCTTCCTCTTCCTTCTTCTTCTTCCCCTTCTGATTTTCCTTTCTCTTTCCTTCACATTACTGTCAATTCTGCATGACTCTTAGTTTTATAAAGTATCCGCTCCTCCCATGTTTTTCTAAATTCTTTGGTTTTATCTTCTCCAATATGGTAAACTTCCTCCATCCTATACACATATTCCACTCTGCTAAACCAATCTTTTATTGTAGGGGTTTCCTTACTTTGCCAATATTTCGAAATCAACCCTTTAGCTGCATTTATTAAGTGAAATATTAACATATTCTTATATTGCTTCAATACTTAACATATTTATCTATCTATCTATCTATCTATCTATCTATCTATCTATCTATCTATCTATCTATATATATATATATATATATATATATAGCCCATTTTGGCTAAACCATCAAGAATAAACAAAAATTCTGCCACGATGTCCGTCCAGATAAACTGGACAACTAAACCCCAACTTAAACAGGCACCATGACAATAATGATGAACTAAAAGGGCGGGGGGAGCCGCAGTCCTGTCCCTCAGCAGCTGCTGGAGCTTGTAAGTAGTAGCTTTTATAGGTGAAAAGCATGGGCTGTGGACGCCCGCCAAAATGGGCCAATCATTCCACTAGCAACCTAAAAGAGCGGGAAGGAGAGAGAAGCCTTGTCCCTTTGTGCAATCCCATGTGGGTCACGCTTAACGCTGGGGACCCTGTCATTTTATTAGTAGAGACAGTATAAAGATGGGCAAAATTAAAAAAAATGTATATAATGCACTCTGTCACTAGCAGCAATTTTTGTTTCTCTGAGTCACTCATATCATAGTTTTATTACCTGCTGATCCTGCCATTAGATCTATTATTTCCCACTTCCTTTAATAAGGTAACAATGCTGTTTATTCTGCATTGAAGTTACACAGCAGAGTTGGAACCCTGTGGATAGGGCAGTCTAATGGTGGCTATAGATGGAATTATTTTATTTGATCGTATTGTTGATAGATTTACCATTACAATTACAAGATTGGAAATTAATGAAAATGAATATTTGTGCTTGGAGGAGAGATTTTGGTAGAGGGGATGAAGATTTGTGTTTGGAACAGAATTTTTGAAGAGTAAGTTATTGTGCTGAGAGGATAGATTTGGGGGGATGTGAAGATTTGTACTAGGAGGGGTATTTAGGAAGAGGGATGAAGATTTGTGCTGGAAGGGGGATTGTGGGAGGAGGGATCAAGATTTGTATTGGGAGGGGGGGATTCAGGAGGAGGGATAAAGATGTGTGCTGGAAGGATATGTTTTTGGTTAGGAAATCAAGATTTTTACTGGGAGGAGAGATTTTGGATTTACACACCCAGGATCCCTGTGCTCTATGTGTTACATACTCTTGACCCTTGCACTGTGTGTATTACAATCCCCTGACAACTGCATTTTGTGCAATAAACATCCCTAACTCATGCATGCTGTGTCACACACTCCTGACCTCTTCACTCTGTGCATTATGTACTCCAGATCCCTGCACTTTGTGACCCTTGTACTCTGTAGCGCTTTCCCTGAAGGAGCCACTGGATGTATTGGGTCCCCTGTTCCTATGCCCATGGCTCTGCAAACAGCACCATGCACACTGACATACCTAGCTGGGTAGGAAATGTTTATTGCAGATATCTGTATATTAACCCCAATGGCTCAAGGTACATATAAACCAGGAATGACACAGCAACTGGTTAGTAGAACTATAGGAAAAACATTTTTTTATTTCATTTTGAATAGAGTAAGAGAAGATGATAACCCCTGTCAGATTTTTTTTCGCCATCTAGGTCTCATTGGGAAGATTTTTCCTTTACTTCCTGTTCCATACCCAAACAAGAAGTGAAAGGAAACCCCTGCAAATTAAGGGAATTTCCTTTGGACCCCCAGGTCACCAGAACTAGCACCCCCATTGGAAGATTTCCCCTCTATTACTTTTCTGGGGACAATCCAAAATGTGGGATTTTCTTTTACTTTCACTTTCAATAATAATGGTAAACAGGACAAATAGGGTGAATCTCGCTACGGGAGGCACAAACAGCAGTAAAAACTGAGAAATGTTCTAATCCCTCTCCACTCTGTCCAAAACTAAAATAAAAATGTGCCTTTAATTATACTTTAAGTAATACAAAAAGTATATTGCAACAGGGTAAACAGAAAAAAATGTAAATGTATTTTATTGGGATTTTATGTGATAGACCAACACAAAGTGGTACATAATTGTGAAGTAGAAGAAAAATGATAAACGGTTTTAATTTTTTTTTACAAATAAATACCTGAAAAGTGTGACATGCATGTGCATTTGCATTCAGTCCCCTTTACACTAACACCCATAACTAAAATCTAGTGGAAACAATTGCCTTCAGAAGTCACCTAACAAGTAAATAGAGTCCACCTGTGTGCAATTTAATCTCAACATAAATACAGCTGTTCTGTGAAGAGGTTTGTTAGAGCACAGTAGTGAACAAAAACAACACCATGAAGGCCAAGGAAAACACCAGGCAGGCCATGGATAAAGCTGTGGAGAAGTTTGAAGCAGGGTTAGGTTATAAAAATAAATCCCAAGCTTTGAACATCTCACGGAGCACTGTTAAATCCATCATTCAAAAATTGAAATAGAAAAGCTTAACTGCAAACCTACCAAGACATGGTCGTCCACCTAAACTGATAGGCCAAGCAAGGAGAGCATTAATCAGAAAAGCAGCCAAGAGGCATATGGTAACTCTGGAGGAGTTGCAGAGATCCACAGCTCAGGCGGGAGAATCTGTCCATAGGACAACTATTAGTCATGCAGTCCACAAATCTGGTCTTTATAGAAGAGTGGCAAGAAGAAAGCCATTGTTGAATGAAAGCCATAAGTAGTCCCATTTTCAGTTTGCGGGAAATTTGGGGAACACAGCAAACATGTGGAAGCAGGTGCTCTGGTCAGATGAGACCAAAATTTAACTTTTTGGCCTAAAATCAAAATGCTATCTGTAGAGGAAAACTAACACTGCACATCACTCGGAACACACCATCCCCACTGTGAAACATGGTGGTGGCAGCATCATGTTGTGGGGATGCTTTTCCTTCAGCATGAACAGGGAAGCTGGTCAGTGGGAGTTAATGGGAAGATGGATGGAGCCAAATACAGGGCACAGGGGCGGACTGACAACTCATGGGGCCCCCGGGCAATAGGGGATCATGGGGCCCCTGTGTCCTTGCCCAAACTCAAAAAAGCCTATGAAAAAGGTACCAGGGGTATCTCATGGGGCCCCCTACTGACCCCGGGCCCTCGGGCAGTGCCTGAGTTTCCAAATGGTCAGTCCGCCCCTGACAGGGCGATCCTAGAAGAAAACCTGTTAGAGTCTGCAAAAGACTTGAGACTGGGGCGGAGGTTCATCTTCCAGTAGGACAACGACCCTAAACATACAGCCAGAACTACAATGGAATGGTTTAGATCAAAGCATATTCATGTGCTAGAATGGCCCAGTCAAAGTCCAGACCTAAATCCAATTGAGAATCTGTAGCAAGGTTTGAAAATTGCTGTTCACAGATGCTCTCTATCCAATCTGACAAAGCTTGAGCTATTTTGCAAAGGAGAATGGGCAAAAATGTCACTCTCTAGATGTGCAAAGCTGGTAGAGACTTTGCAATTATGTGCCACTTTGTGTTGCCACTTTGTGTTGGTCTATCACATAAAATCCCAATAAAATACATTTACGTTTTTGGTTGTAAACATGCCAAAATGTGGAAAATTTCAAGGGGTATAAATACTTTTTTCAAGGAACTGTAATAACAATTCAGCAGTCAGTAATTTGCTACTTTATTTCTTCCAGAGCCCAACCGTTATGATGGAATATTCAAGGTAGTTGTCAGGCTCCGCCCAACGATCTCTAGTGGTCCACGGCACGGGGTTTCCCAGGACGCGGAGTCTAAGTCCCAGTCTGCCTTTTCACCAGGGCCCCTGATGGTGGGGATGGACTTGGTGCAAGACTGAAACCAGGTCGCGTCCCTGGGCACCCCCGGGGT